GTGCGACAACCACGTGGAATCTTTGGACGGAGATTGTGCGCATGGCGCACGGATGGATGAGAAGCGTGATGAGGCGCGCACCGACCGTCGAGCCGCCGCCAGCAGATGCGTCACGGGTGTCACACCACCAAGGGAATCAGCCCTCCCGATTCGCGACAAGATGGGTATGCGTCCGTTCATGTCTTAATCCTTGCGCTCAATTGTCAATACTTGTAACCATGTTTGTGTTTTCAATGCGACTTGACGCGCACGGTGGGCAGGAAATCAACGAGTACACGCGTACCTCCTCTCTCACAAGGGCAAGGCGACGGATCCGAACAACATCTACAACCCGGAGGACGGGCCCGATCGTACACCAACCCCACCGCCCACGAGAAGGCCACCGAGTACACCGTCGCGGCTCGCCGGCGCTTCACGGGAGACGTTCGACCCACCGCCGAGCCCTCGACACAGACCTCCTGCGCAGAGGTTGGGACCAGGAAGCAAAGACGCCGCTACTACATGGCCCTGGCGCCCTCGACCCGTCCTAGGTTCCTACGCTGACCCAGGTTCGATCCACGCCCACGAGCTCCAGCGACATCCCCGTAGCACCCGGCAGTCAGCGTCACAGGTAAGTGCCGTTTCGTTCGTCGTTCACTCGTTTCGCACCTGTACATACAATCAACACTGCGGATGTAATATTGCAGGCCCAGATGGAGGCCAAGATGGAGGAGAGGATCGCCACGTTGCACGCGCAGATGATGGCGCAACAGATGGCTTACCAGCAAAGCCTGCAGCAGCACTACAACACTCAGATGCAGAACATGGCCAGCTTCTTCCAGTCCATGCAGACGCCCGGGGCGTCTACACCGCCTCCTCTTCCAATGTTCGCTCCACCGCCTCCTCCTCCAGAGTTTTTTCCTGTGCCCGCTCCCCGCCGCTCCTGGAGGGACCCGGTGAGTATATTGACTCTTGCTTTAACTTGTGCGTCCCATGCTGCAGAGATACTAATGACATCACTTGGCGTTTAACATGGTATGTCGGCGGGTTCGAACCCGTCTCCTGGAGGTCCCGGCCATCAGATGATGTCGTATCCACCACCTGCACCCTATCCACCGTATCCACCTCCGCGTGGCCCTCCTCCGACGTACTCGTGGCCGCCGGTGCGCGGAGGGTGGCAGTACGCGCAGGCGCCTCAGTTTGGTCCAAGGGGGTTTCCGTGGGCAAACCCTGGGGGCTCTGGGGGCGGAGCGGACGACGAGACCGGGGACGGCGCGACGAGCTAGGTATTTGTCGATTCTGTTATCATGTATCCACCGTATCGTCGAAGTTGTTGTCATGTATTTCTTTTCTTCGTTATGGACCTAGACTTGTTATGTTGAATCGTGTGATGGACGTCGACTTGTGGTGTTCGGACGTGTTGGACTTCATGTGATGGTTGTAATGCACTTGTGTGGTTGTTATTGTGTGATATATGTGAGATATATGTGATGTTGTGTGCGTTATTGTGATATATGTGGTGATGTTGGCGACAAATGTGATGAAATTGTGATATAAATGGTGCTACCGGTGCTTCGGTGAAATTGGATTATAATTTGTGATTTTGCGAGGTTTTGATGCGAGAAAAGCAGAAAACAAAAAAAAAAAAAAATTTCGACTTTTGTTGATTGCTTTACAATCGGCAAAGTCGGGCAAAAAACCTCAGATGAGTCTTTGCCGATTGCGATGGGAGGCGATCGGCAAGAAGAGGTCAAACCTTTGCCGATCGCAACTCAAAGCGATCGGCAAAAAACATTCAAAAAAATATTTTCTTTCTTTGCCGATCGCTGAAGTTGGCGGCCGACCGGCAAACAATTTTTGAAAAAAAAATTCTTTGCCGATCGCCGAGGAACCAGCGATCGGCAAAGCTCGCCGTCGGTCGACGGCGCCACGTGGCTATGCCGATTTTGGCGTGGCGATTGGCAAAGGCTTTGCCGATCGTGTGCCACGTGGCGATCGGCAAATCCGCCTTTGCCGACCCGAGCTTTGCCGACCGCTTCGCTGCCGATCGCCACGTGGATTTGCGGTCGACAAAGCCTTTGCCGACTGGTTTATGCCTTTGCCGACCGGGGGGCAGCGATGCGGCAAAGAGGCGTTTTCAGTAGTCGCGTACCAACGGCAATGGCGGCGCCGCGAGAAAGTCTGGCCCCTCGGCAAGGTCACCGGCGGCGCCCATTGGACGCCGAGGACCTCTTCGGGCGCTTTGGCATCGTGGGCTCGTGGGTCGATGCCGCTTTCCTCTCCGGCGGCTTCTTCTTGTGCGCGACCTTGGCCGGAAACGACGCTCGGTCTCAGACGACGCTTTCCTCTCGGGCGGCATGGACGACGCGGCGGCAACAAACAAACCATCGGCCATGGCATGAAGCAAAGATGGATGGATTACGTACCTCCTCCAGTCGTCCCAAGGTCAGCGGCGACGACAGCCTCCCCTGGACGGCGTGCTTTGGCGCGAAGAAGATGAGTAGGCTCTGTTCGGCTGCCATGATCAGCCGGCTTATCAGCCATGGTACAATAATTTTCTCTCCTAACAAATCAGCCGTACAAATCAGCACAAGCGACTTATAGACCAGCCGAACAGAGCCGAACAAGCGGCTTATAGACCGCGCCAAGGAGCAGAAATCGCGGTGAAGAAGGATACGCTCGACGGCACGACGGAAGAAGGATATGCGCGACGGAGAGTGCACGTAACTTTACGCGGATGTGTGATTTTTTTTCCAGTGCTAAAAGTTTGGGAAGATATATCAAGAGTTGTTGGGGAGGTTTTTTTTCATCTTACAAAAAACAAGGATTAGGAAAGAAAATAGAGAACGATGCTCTTAAGCAGACAAGCAGTGTAGTTGAAATCGAATCATTTTCCTGGAACCCCTGCAATTTCTCGGAAAATGGCGTGGAATGAGGCATAATTATGGCATGATTTCTGGCATAAACATCCCTCTTCTTCATCTGCTACCGCTCACCAACAACGTGCTGCTCCACGAGCAGCACTAAGGATGAAAACGGTCGAACTCGGTCAAAAAACTCCTCAACCGTTTTCTACTTTTATATTTGAAATACGAAAGCGAAAGCGAAAGCGGACAAGCCGGACATGAAAACGAACACGAACTTACGAAATATCTAGAATTTCGGAAACGAACCAATTCGAGCGGAATTATGTCGAACACGGTCGGTATGCGAAAATTCAATACGAAATACCGACCCACAGTGCATAGCATTAAACAAGTGCACGACCAAATACATAACAAGTTCACAACTAATAAGTGCATGATCTAGTTCAAGTGCATAGCATTAAACAAGTGCACGACTAAATACATAATAAGAAAGATAAGGCTGGACGCTGTCTATAAGAGAGGGCAGCTAGCCACCAGTAGAAAGAACGCAGCTACGTGGTGAGCAGCCTGTAATTGGGTTGTATGACCTGTGCAGTTGGCCAAATTCGGTTTAAACTGAATTTTGAATTCGGAATATTTCAAATTAAAAGTAGAAAAGTAGAAAGCGGTCGAAAAATGTGTAAACCGTTTTCTACTTTTACATTTGAAATACCAAACATCTCAAATGTGAAAGCAAAAACAGTAAAGTCGGACAAGAAAATGCGGATTCAATCGGATTAAATATAGAAAACGATGCGGTTCGGTTCGGAATATTTCCGTTCCCACCTCAGCTCTCCTTCACGTGTCGTGTGGCCCTCCTCTAAGCATCCGCCTCGACGGAGAGATCAGAGATGATGGGACGAAAGACGGTGAAGTAACGGAATCCAATTTGAAGTTTTAGTGCGACCAGTTGCCCTTGCCAGCGAATGGCCATCTCAATAAAGGTCAGACATTTCATAAAAAAAAAAGGTCAGACAAACTGAAACCAACCAGAAGCCATGGCATATGATAGATCTGTCCATTGTCCAGAAAAGAAGCCAACCTCATAGTCCAGAATCTAAAACGAGCTAAAATGTTTGCAAATAAATATTCATACACTCCAAACCATTTCAGGACTCAGTTCCAACACCATCAGCTACCACCACCTGGGGGGGCATGGCTGAGGTCGATGCCTGTGAATAAATGAAACTAGGCGAGATCAATGGCAACACGATCTGGGGCCGGCCTAGTTTTTTGTCCCTTAGCAAGCTTCACACCAAGCTGCCCCTCGCTACCTGAACCAACGGAGTACAGCCTGCCGGATTCGGTGAGGACGCATGTATGACAGTGACATCCACCCGAAATATGGCTTTGGCTAGGCCAGTCCCAGGTGTTGGTCGCGCTAATCTGCACAACCTTTTCATTCAGCGAAACCTTCAGAGTGGCGGCTAGCTTGGGAATCCTGACTTCCATGCCGCCGTCCGCCTGAAACCACGAGAGATGAAACGGCAAAGTCAGGAATTTGGAACTAGTTACTGATCGCTGCTATATATGGTTTTGTTATCTGGATTATATACAAGCCCCAGACTCAAGTACAAGGAAGATGATGGTCAAACCTTGACACCCAGATTACGCGAACTATTGCACCCAAAGGAGTAGACATCGCCGTTGTCTGCGACGACGAAGGTGGAGCTATAGCCAGCTGAGACATGCCTAGCCTTCACCGATCCCAACCCTTCCACTGCCGTGGGGAGGACAACATATTCTTGTTTATCATCGTGCCCCAGACAACCAGTGTAGTAGTCCCACCCCCAGGTGAACACACGTCCGTCGCTTGCCAGAACTGCACAATGGAAAGCGCCTGCTGAAACCGACAGCGGTTTTACCTTCAGTGTCTGGAAATGTTGGATCATCATTGGGATCGTCAGGTCTGTCGTGCATCCATGCCCAAGCTTGCCTCCTTGACCGCACCCTAATGAGTAGACCGACCTGCAAATTGATACAAAAATTCAAAACTTATTGCAAGAAAAACAATGCTCGTGACCCTGCTCGTTTATATGAACGGCGATGCTTGTTTAACAAAAACTAAGAGGATCAGCATGAATGAAAACTGGGCAACAAAGGAATGACACTTACATTCCAGTAGGTTGGTAGGCCAACATAAGGAGATAGCAATTGCCTGCAGCAATCTGCACAACAAGAGCATCCTCAAGCGGTCCAGAGAGAAGGCGAGGCTCGAGATCATTCGGATCTGAACGATGACCAAGCTTCGCTTCACGCCCCCAACAGAAAGTGTAAACCTGACCCTCTCTAGACAGAACTGCAGAGAAGTGACCTCCTATAGATGCTTGGACTACAAACATATCTTTCAGTGATTCCACGACCTTAGGGCTGCTAGTGCAAGTACTAGGAAAAAACAAACCCGAATAGTTATCCTGTCCAAACGCATACACTCTTCCTGTGTCACTAACAAGCATTGTCCGCCTCGAGCCAACTGCGGCTTGTGTGATTCTAATGCCCTGCAGAGACCTACAAGACATGCATGGTTCCAGAGTTATGAGTTGTGACATTGTGCATATACTATAGCAGCAAAACCAACATAGGTAACGTTACCTAATAAGGCATGGTTCGAACTGTCCTTCGGTATTCCCAAGCCCAAGCTGCCCTGAAGAGTTTGCGCCGAATGAGTAGACATCCCCCTTTGCTGTGACGGCAATACTGTGCCCTGGTCCAGCAACAACCTGGGATTTCCCACGGTGGTAATTCTTCTCACCGATCAACAGGTACTCAAGGACGAGCTTCCAAGAGCCGCCGCACCGCTGCTTCAGCTTATCTTTTTCCTCATGCTTCATTGACTCAAAAATGGCCTTCTGACAGCAAGTATCATATGCTGCACATTCTGGGAGAGACAACGTGGCATCTGGCTCAAAGTCCGCCTGACTTCTGAAGAACGTACATGCAGCCTGAACAACATTGTATTATATCTCGATTGTCATAGACATGATAAGAAGCATTTTCAATCAAAATACAGAGCACATTTTATATATGGTTGTACAAATTAAACTTGCCTCCAAAGCAGCCAGATCCTTGGGTTCCAGCCCGTAGGATGAGAGCACATGGAGGAGAATGGACGGGGGGATTTGCTGCAGTGATAGACAAGATTGGGGGGTGGTCTCATTCACAATGTCGTGGACCTTTATAACCGTGGAGGCTTTGCTGTCCGTGGCATCCATTGGGAACCTGCACTTAATGGCCTTGAGGTGCCTTAATTGTGAGCTCAAAACCTTCAAGGACAAGAGCTGCTGAGGAAAAAAGAAACAAATCATCACATAATCTGGATATACATCTGGACCAATAATATAATGTACCAACGTGTCTATTATACTCATGGATTTCAAACAGCTAGTCGAATGTGTTTTTCTATACTAAACTATTAGTCACACAAGAGAGCATTGTAATTTATACAATGATACAAATCAGTAGCTGTCAATGAGTAAGAGAACAATTAGTAATAAATTACATTGAGGTCAGATCTTAATAGTCAGAAATTGTGACGATGAAATTAGTTGAAGCACAAGATCATTAATAAACATCGGTGTTCAAGAACCCCCCAAACCATACACACACACACACACACCACCCGCCCAAACAAAAATCAAGCAAATCAAGGGAAGCACTTGTGCACAATACGTCAATATGCTACTACCGACCATTATCAACACAAACTGCAACGTATAAGTATATATACATGCATGTTATTCGTTTTCCTAAATAAGCGTACATGCATGCTTCAAAAGAAGGAAAGACACTACCATCAGTATATTGATCAACGAACAAGTGGCAACCTGATCTTCACAAGATCAATATCCAAAAGACCAAAACCATCAAAATTGCAGTTAAGCATAATCATCAAATCAGAAGATATATGATTAAGAAGATCATCTAATCTAATACTCCTACTAGTAATGGTCTTTTTTCCTATATAATCACCCAAAACCCTAATCCACGTAACACAGTTTACCATCGTCAACACAACAACTGAAGAGACTGTTGTACATTGGAAACACGTACGAGCGAGTAAACAGATTGCAAAACAAAGGGGCTGGCTGATCGATCGAAGTTATTAGCAGGAGGCAGGAGAGGACTGGAGACACCTGGTGCATGTGGATCACTAGCCGCCGGAGAAGGGCGCGATGAGGACCTCGCCGCCAGGAAAGGGAGAGGAGGAGGGACTACGTGGTTTGTTTGTTTGGATTCTCCGTTATATATACTTATTATAAACCCTCTTCCCACGCTCCCTTCGATTCCGTGCCTCTCTGCTCGGCGCCGACAGGTGGGCCTCACGCCCTCGCCGCACCTGTGCGCTGCGCATGCACGTAGCCCCTTTCACCGATTGCATCGGCGGCGGCCACACCCAGCCTGGCGCCACGCGCACGTCCCCCCATGATCGCGTCGCGCGCCGTATCTTCCATCGCCTCCAACGACACTGACAGGATCGGGCGCGCGCATGTGCCTAGAACTTGGGCCGTGCCATTTGAGTGCGGGTCATAGCATAGTCTTTTGGCACGACCCGAAGCACGGTACGGCACGAAATATTTTGGACCGTGCCAGCACGACACGAACACGGGAGCCATGTCGTGCCTAGGATCTCGGCATGGCGGGCCACATGGCCCGGCCCGAATTTTGGGCCGGCACGACACGAAAATGGCACGTAGACACTTCTACAACTATACAATACAATTTTCTAACATTTACTATACTATCTCTCATCTAGTTCTTGAATAGATTATAAAAATCACTAAAACTTTTGTTAGAATAGTACACATAAGATATATATATTTCATATCATAAGCGAAAAAAGAAAAACTAGTAGAAATATTTTGAGGGCCGTGCTTGGACCGGCACGACCTAAAGACATGTGAGCGTGCCACGGGCCATGCTTGGACCGAAGAAAAGACTCACCGTGCCATATTGACATGGCCCGACGTGCCTCTCATGCCTAGAGGGCACGACCCGAAGCAGCACGAAGCATGAAAGGGCCGTGCCGTGCCGGTCTGGCTCGGCCCAAGTCCCACCTCTACATGTGCCTCGTCCCCCGTGCGCACATCGCGTGCCGTGTCATCCCCCGGCGGCGTGGCCCGCCTCTTGAATCAGGGGCTCGCCGACGTACGGCCGACCCCTATCCGCTATCGTCGCATCGGATGGCAGTGACAAATTAAGCTCCAAGTTGCTCATCTACATCCGGAAGCTGTTGCTCCCGGGCCCGGCTACTGCACCTCCTACGCCGGTGGCTTTGAGCGAAGGAACAAAAAGCGCCACCACGGATGCCGGCCCCAAGCACCGGGTTGAAGGTACACCGCCGCCGCCTGTCTGGAGCGTCCATGCTGTCCGCTCACTCTAAAGTCGCCGAACCAAGAAAAGGCTATTTTATTTCTTATATAATTTACCTTCTTCTCTCTTTTTCTGTTTTTAGAGGCACAATACGAAGAAGGGATAGAAAAGAAGTATGAACCAAACTAGTTGAAAATCATGGTTTCGATGGAGCTGTCATTTATGAGTGTGGGTAGAATGCCACATGGCAAGGTAAGAATTGGTGATGAGGCCAATTAGCATTACATACAGAGAATGAAGAAATTAAGACAAGGAAGAGAAGTGAACAACCATATGTTTCTGCTAGAGAGAAGCGACTTGAAAGGGATAATGAGAAGCTGCGAAAGGAAAGTAATGTTCTTCATGAAGTTCAGCGTGTTCTGAGGGTAATATATATTGTTGCTATAACCATATCTGTGAAAAAAATACCAGATGCTAATCTTAAAGGGTTAACAGACAGTTGTCGCTAAACGAGGCATGGACTATGATGCATTAGCTTAGGAAACTGCAACTAACTTGGTGAGTTTACCTCTGAATTTGATTGCTATCACATACTTAATTAGAACTCTTATAGATAAGGTAATTAGCAATTAAGGAGATGCTTTTTTCAATCAAGTTCTTTTAATTACGAAAATAAAATGAACCAAATTTTTCTATGACTGTTCACATGCATGATCCTAGAGTAGCTAGTAGTTTAGTTAAAGTAACAATTTCTGGTTCCTGGTGTTTACAGAGCACAAACAATAATATTTATAGAGGAAAGAAAATCGCAGTAAATGGCCAATAAACAGAAAAGAATTACATAAGAACATATTGTAGAGCAACTACAAGTAGACTGCCTTCAACAAATTTTTGAAAGCTCACAACAACTCGGTCATCCATCGTAAGACAAAACAAAGGTAACTAACTTTTGCTAATGAGATAAAACTTTCCTTCTACACCATTTCATAGTCCTTGTTTGTCTAACTGAACCAAGTTAGTACATAGCGAGAATTACATCATGTACCTCCCATGAAGTGTGTTGATATCCATGCAATGGTTTCAAGCACTTCCCAGATCGGCAATAAATTATTCTAAGAATATGGTACCACTATATGTTCTTTTGTATTTATAGACGATATATTCATTATCCTACCGTGTGTATGCAAAAGTACTCTTCCATCTAGACTTAATGCAGTTGCAATAGGTTCCCTCTTACAGGCACATGAGGGCAATATTTGGGAAACCACTAATGCAAGGAATGTGATTCAGCCTTGTTTAAGTAAAGTGATAATTGAATAAATCATTTAGATGAAAAAATAGTTTGAGCTCTTTTATACCAAGAATTTATAAGTATTCATCACAGCAATCGTTTAGCATCAGTTTTATCTATGCCTACAGGAGTGTGATTTTTTTTTTCCATATCACTTCTCTTGATGAGATCACTAAACATATCTAATGCAAGCTACATCTGAGGCAGAGGTTGGGTTCACAAGGGAGCATTGACAATGCTGTTGGTCGAAATTAAGCTGAACAGGTTAATATCAACTATATCTATCAACGATTTCGATGGGAACCATGAAACAAGTATTGTTGAGGCTTTTGCTTATTGTAAAATATCATCGTTGTATCTTGCTATTGATAGTGAAGGCGACGCACTATTTTTGAAGTAACAATAAAATTAAATTAAATGAGGTCTTGCTGTTGTTTTACAGTGCCAACTCTCTTGCTACTCCTAACTAAAAGTATATTATTTTTTATGGGGAAGCATTAACGTGAGATAAAACCATGGAGATGAGGATGAGGATGACAATGGCAGTGAAGACTATGACCATGATGGTGATGACGATTATAGCAACTATGACGATGGAGGCTATGGTTCTAAAGGCCTACCTAATTTTGACAATGATGATTTTGACCCTGGTTGTCACTTTTTGTGATGAGCAAATGATATACTCTTCTCCTTTGTCCATCAAACAATTTACCTTTTGCCTAATGAACAATGGTGTTCTAGACAAGTACTTACATTCGCACATTGGTGTTTTAGACACACAAGGACAACTTCGTAGACCTAAAATTGCATTTTAAGAGTTGGGGGTTCCCGGGGATTGAACCCTGAGAAAAGTTCTGAGACCTCTATAACTTTGTAGTTTAATTTTTTTATTTGAGATCATTTATCAGAGCCTCGAATAATTGTTTTGAGTTCTATGATTATGAAATTTGAACTTTTCAATTTTCCAAATAACCTTGGATAGAGACATGCTCTATACCAAATTTGTAGTGATTGAATAAATCTGAAACTTTTTAGTTATTTTTTTTATCTAAGATCATTTATAGGAACCTAATATTCAATAAAAGATGGCAAGCCTAAAAATATATATGTGGAGCCCACATGCCATATCAACCAAAACAACCATCAAAATTGAGTTCTAGTGTGTTTTTAAATTAAGCAACAAGTTCAGAGGACAAATCGGACTTTAATCTATTTTTTATAAATTTAACTTCATTTGTTTTAGATTTAAACTGTGTTTAACTACTAACTAATCCAATCTCTTTATTCGACAATGTAAAATGTTTTACCAAATTTTGCCAACTTTAAGTTTATGAAAAAATGCACATGCAACATACCAAACGTAGTCACGACAGCTCGTCTCATATTTGAATAGCTAATATTTAGGCCACAGGCGTCCGTCCCAATTCGGACGCTGTCTTCGTGGGCCTGCACAGCAGATAGACTAATAGGCGTGCTCTTCCCCATCGCACTCGCATCTTGTTGTCCGGGCATCTCCGCACATCCGCTGCCGCACCACCCCTTCCGCCACCACGCGCCCGTCCCCCGTGCACGCAGTGCCCTTTCCCCTGGCACGCCGCACCCCATCACCGGCCTCGCCGCGCCACCATCCCGCGCATCGCCCCTATCCATCGGCTCCCGTCCACCTCACCTTTCGCGGCCATGGCGGGCACCACACCACCACCACCCCGGCACCACCAGGAGGAGGTCACCACCGGTCCTGACTTCGTCTCCCGCGACAGGAAGGGGAGGCCTGCGCACGCTGGGCTATTTGTTCTCGACGTTCTCTTTGGACCTGAGCTTGTTGGTTACCGCAGTCCCCCATCAGGTAGGCCATAGCCGCCGGCGATGCCGTGTTTGAAGTGTTTCGGGTGTTCCCAATTTAAGTTTCAATGTTTCATCTGAATGTTGCAAAAGTCGATCTGGGATGTTGCGTATGTTGTCAATATACGCATATTGCAAGTGTATGTTTCAAGTGTTTCAGACGTTTATTTCAAATGTTTCATCAGTTGACCTGGTGTTGCACATGTTGCAATGGCTATACATGCGTGTTCCAAACGTATGTTTCATCTGTTTTCAGACATATGTTGTAAATGTTTCATCTAGATGTTTCAAAAGTAGATCTTGTGTTACATGCCGCTGTTCACCTGCTGCTGCTGTTGGCAGCCTGCTGGTGCGCCACCGTGGTTCACGTGCCGGTGCCTCCACAGCGCGCATCCACAGGCGGGGCAGGTGGTCACGGTTCTGCCGTGCCGACGTGGGATGGGCGCGGGGGCATGGTTCTACCATGCGGGGCGCGAGACGGGTGCGGGCCGTGGTTCCGGACGCTAGTTGGGAACGGAGCGGAGCACGTGGGATATGATGCGAGCACGGGGTGCGGACGC